GGGACTTCACCTGACTGCCAAGACTTTTCAAATATCATGGAGAGTGACTGGGCAACTACATCGGCCAATTCCCTCAGGACTCTGGGATGCATCTCGTCAGGTCTCATAGACTTCTGCATGTTCAGGTTCCTCAGGTGGTCACTGAACCTGATCTTCTCTTGCAGTGGGAGAGACTTTGCTCCCCCAGTCCCCATCCTGCAGTCCATCCACTCGAGAGGTGTGGGAAGAGAGACTGCCAGTGAAGACCGAGGCAAAAATGTTGTTGAGAACCTCAGCCTTCTCCCCACCCCTTGTTACCAGTTTGCCAGTCTTGGTCATCAGGATGGGTATGCTTTCTTTGACCTTCCTTTTCTGGCTGGCATACCTGTAGAAGCCCTTCTTATTATTCTTTGCATCCCTTGCCAAGTTCAGCTCCAGCCATGCCTTGGCCTTCCTGACCCCATCCCTACACAATCAGGTGACATCCCTATACTCTTCCCAGGATCCCTGTCCCTGCTTCCACTGCCTGTGCATTTCCTTCTTGCCCCTTAGTTTGACCAGCACATCTCGACTCAGCCATGCTGGTCTCCTGCCTTCTTTTCCTGATTTCTTACACCTGGGGATTGAGAGCTCTTGTGCTCTATGGAAAGCATCCTTAGAGATCTGCCAGCTCTGTTCTGCTCCCTTGTCCCTGAGGGCAGCTTCCCAGGGGGTCCTATTGACTAACTCCTTGAAGAGCTGGAATTTTGCTTTCCTAAAATTCAGGGTCCTGACTTTGCTCTTCACCTGTCCCATATCCTTCAGGACTGCAAACTCCACCAGAGCAACATGCCATTGGAGTCTCAGCTATGCTTGGTCTCATGGCAAAAGCAACATTTGAAAAAAAAAATTAAGTGCCAATATTAACTAGATACCCAGAGCTGAGAAAAATATTCATTGAAAAAGAGGAAGAGCACAGACTTTTCCCATAATGAACAAAAGCTCAATGCTGCTCTCAGCTGGACATGTGTTCTCTCTGTGCAGCTACAGTTCCGATAGAGATTATTCCTTCATAATATATTTTTTATGGTACACATGAGACCTCTGAAATGCAGTGTCTTGTGTCCTGTAAATCATTTCCTGTAACTCGTAGATTCCTTTTCAACTGCATTACGGTAATGTGAATGTTAAGGGACTAACTTGAACTGACAGAAGCAAAGCCTCGCATCCCTCACTCACGGCTTCCTGCCCCGGTGCTCAAGGGAGGCTGTACAGCCTGTGGCCAGACAGCAGGCGCTTGGCCTGGGGGTGTTCCCTAGAGCTCTGCGGAGCCCACAGAAAGGTTGCTGCAAATTTAGCAATCAGACTTGAACCTTAAACAAAAATCCCAAGTAGGTGCAGTTTGGGTCATG